TATAAAGGTGCAATCTCATTGCTGTATTCTGTTACACCCAAACAGCCATATCCTACTACACGACCGGAATGTAAACGAGCAATAAGAATATGTTTTGCACGATTGATGATCCAGTTCTTGAAGAAGTAATCCCTCTCGCTCTCACATACATTCTCGTCGTACGCCTTCAACTCAGTAAACATGGAGCCTTCGAAGGGGACTATGCTGATTTCCGGACTCGCTTCTGCATCAGGAATTGCCCCCAGTATGACTTCCGCTGGCCCACGTTTTTGGTGTACGTCATAGTAGAAAGTGAAGCCATGGGTGTCGTAAATGTTAACGAAGGAAGCTGATATGACGATGTTGGCGTCACCCACTGCCTTGAGTGATTGAAGGTTCACATCACGTCCGATTCCATACCTCTGAGGTCTTTCCTCACGAGATAAATGTCTTCTCGTTATCAAACGCCAAGACACGACAAGCTGTTAAAAAATAGATATAGTTATAGCACAGATGTGAATAAACATAAGAATGATGATTATTGAAAGGTCATACCTTTTAACATACATATAGATATTTCATGAGGATTATTTGTCAGCCGCCTATGCTTGTCATATGGGTCGAGGAAATAGGCCAGCTTGGTGGCTTATGATCGATCACGATGCTCTGACTGCCTGGGAGGCTGATCTTCATATCAATCACTTGTTTGTCTGTTCCAGACTTGATTATTTACAGGCCGCTGCCATATACCTGAAATATTACTTGCCGAGGTGTTACACAATACATTGAAGTGTCTCTTTGTATCTAATGTGAATTGAGCTTGTTTTCACGTGTTTCTGAAACCTTTAGAGTCCTTAGCTGAAAAGATCCACAAGCAATGCCACATTCTACCATGGATTGGGAAAATACTCGATTATGATTAGTCAATCAGAGACAATGAAAACAGCCCATCTGACGGCCGGATCACCACCGAAGCTAATAATTATAGAATAGTACCTCTTTTACAGTCATTGTATTTCAATAATGATATGTACAATTACAGGATACAGAAGTTGCTGTTACTACAATATTCAAAATAGTGTGTGGCAATATATTTCGTGCAAAAAATACGAAAGAAATCTACTAAGAGAATGTATTTTAAGTTTTGTGGACAACAGAGATCTTGCTATTTGGCGCTTTTCTAAGTGCGACTATGATGTCATAATGCATAACAACAGGCGATATGACGTCATAACAGTGACGCGAGGTTTAGAGATGAAGCATGTTAGACATGCTTTCAGTGCCTGTCATACGTTCGTGTGAAGTAGTACGGTGCAAACAAACTGCATGACAATAAAGAGCGCCATATTTTGTTTAATGACTGTTGCTGGTGATTTCGTGAATTCTGATCGACAACCCACTCAAGACATTCAACCAATGCGCTTCAGGCACTAACGATTTTGCGTTATATTTAGTCATGGTTTTATGGAGATAAACATACTGTATTTTCAATAAAGAGCTAGGTTACTTGTAGATTTAACCAAATCTAAACTTGGATCTCAACACGGAGCTGGATGATATATTTTGATGTAACTTTGTTCGGAAAAAGAAATTGCTTGTTTGTAGGATTTCCTCACCATGCAGTATTTGGCCCCAGTAGGCCTTCAATGTACAATAGAGCGTACGAGACGGAGCGTGTTCAAACAACATATCCAGGTAAACGACAGTCTTGATATAAATAACACTGCTATTCGCTAATCAAGCCAGGATCACCTTGACCTCCTTTCTACGTACACCTCCTTGAGCCTGTCACCCCATATCATGCTCACGCAACTAAATCTGTATGTTGTTACACACTTTGTTTGTCAAGCTTAAACACCGGGCAAATTTCAGTACGTCGCTGACATTTTAGCGTTGTGTCCAAAATAACTGAATAGCATGACACCATTGTCAGTTCATATGAAATATTCGAAGCTATGGCAGGGAATGGCACCAGGTTTTAATCATCTTAAACTGGACGTTTTATGTAATGGTTAATCGAGTCAAGAAGAAATGCAGTCGTTTTCTCTATTAGTATTTACAGTGAAAGGACACGCGTGCTTTACGCTCACCTACCCACTCCCCCAAAACGGATCCCAGACACTTGTCCACTACCTCCACCTGATACACCTATGTACGCACTTCCCACCCCAACAAGAACCATCCACCCACCCAGACATCCATGCTGATTTGTGAATATAGGTGGACCAGTAATGTCATTCGTTGTCTTAAAGTGGAGTTAATGCAATCGTACCTAGTATTTCTCCCGCGTCGGATGCAGCTACAAACCAGGCCCTTGAATCCATATCAAACGTGCAGTACATCAGGTCCAGTGGAATTTCCCACTCATCTATGTTAGTCAATTTTTTATGGCGACTACATCAGCTCGAGTTGCTTTCCTCACAGAGTACTTCGGAACAACAGTAGCCATGTCAGAGTAGAAAGGAGGTCAGGAAGGCTGTGTTATTGACAGAGATTACTGTGACAGTTGAAAACCAAAGTCGATGCAGAAGCTCCGGGGTCTGTAAAGTGTATGTGTGTTACAGTTACGTCACGTTATAATGCCCTATCAACATGCAGTGACGTGATCGGAGCAAAGTTTGATAAGAAAAACAAACGTGACCTTCTACATATCAGTAACCGGGAGTGAGTCAGTGTGTTTCGATTCAAACACATGACTATGGAATACTGAAAGGGACATTCTCGCGATCTGGCACTCTCGTTTTTTTGGGAACAACGCGCATTTTGTCAAAAGTCGTCAACGTGATCATGCGACATTTGGATATGATGCAAAGTCTCGCAATCTCGCAATCTCGACTCTCAAATACAGTTTCATTTCTCGCGTTTTCGCGTTTCACGCATACGTAATATAATAAGGTCAAGGTGCATGCGTACGTTAGTCATCCTGTGGTCATGCTTCTTTCATGCTTTTCATTCTCCAAGAAGCATTGAGCAAACTCATGACTTGAGCTTGAAAATGCTATGTAATTTACATACACAAAGTCCTATGTCGAATAGAGTCCTCTCCCGTTGTTACAGTTTTCTATGTACTTTAAATTAAAACCTTCAACATGTTTAATATGATTTAACAAAAGAAATGTTGTATATGAATGTCCAATGATAGTTAAAACATAATTGTGTCCGAAAGCTTGAAACAAAATATCATCGTCAGTGAGTGAGTAAATTTTGCTTGAGGCCACATCAGCAGTATTGACCTTATGATATCACGCATGCGCACAGTCTGCGTCTAAAACACGATTACGTTGTTAGTGTACATTGTCAATGTAAGCGAATAACCAGTCTAGATCACCTGCTGAAACAGATTCCATTTGGCGCAAAGGCAACATAGCTGTGACAATCATTTGAATGGTCCACTGAAAATCAGTGATGACACCAGGTGTTCGCAGAAAGGGTAAGCATGTAGCACCCTCTATTGTCAATGGAACCGTTGATGTCATTAGCTATTTTGAAGCCGGTGACACAGAGTACCATGAGACGATTTTGCTACCGGTAATAGTCTCAAGGAACAATACGTCACCATAGGAATGCAATCCCTCTTGTTATACATTCCTGTGCATTTTAATGTCACTCTAAATCTGTATGCATTTATATAAATATTTAAACACACGGTTTCGCTTGTCTCTTTTATTTCTAGTTCGGGTGGCTATTACTGAACTGAAGTGTTGACTGTAGCAGGATGACACTTGCTACATGTAATCCTTACGGTGGGGTAAGGGTTTTGCTTAACCTTCATTGGAGGTCAAGTTCAGTGGAATGGGTATTCGTAAGGCTGTTCTGTGTACTGATCCAACCCTCTGTATAGGAATGACATGTCTGTAAGAACAAGCGTGAATTTTCCTTCAGTGGGAAGTATTCAACCAGCCGAAGTATGCAAACAGTAGGTCATGGTAATTTGACCAGTAGTAGATAAACCATACATTGTAACTTCCCACATTCGTGTACACTGACTCCCTAATGTAGCCACTCCACATATAAGTTAGTAATACACAAACAAACATGTACATTTGCGGATAACTCCTGTACTGCGCGTCCCTTGGGCACGCCAGAAACCTATGGTTGTGGGTTCGAAACCCGGTTTGCCCCGATTATGTGTCTAGGTTTGTCAGCACCATAACCGTGCTCCTGGGTTTCACCGAAGTGGTAAACGTCTGAGACCTGCATCACTTCGCGCTTTCCTCCCACATTAAGCTGACACGCCGTGATATAACTGGAATACTGTTAAAAGCGGCGTAAAACCAAACTCACTCACTCCTGTACTTCGAGAAACCATGTGGTACAGTCTGTTGAAGTGGGTGAGTGGACAATAGTGGTGGGACGCTACACTGATTTGTTACTTCTCGATACAAGTATCAATCACAGTCGCACACAAAGTAACAAATATCGATTCTGACCTTAAATGTTTGATTTAATAACTGTTCCACTAAACATTAATCAGTAGTGCACGTTAAGAGTGAAAACATAAATATTTTCATCCATTGCGCCATACTTGACACTGCCAACTGTATATCATCAATGTGCCAGGTATATTTGGCCATCCTGTCTATGGAAAAGATTGCTTACGCACCACAGAGAAGTAGCGTGATACATATCGGATAGTGAGTTAGGTATCATGATACGTATCGGATCGTGAGTAATTATATGAAATATTTATACGTATCGGATCGTGAGCAAGGTATAGTGATACGTATCGGATCGTGAGTAAGGTATCGTGATATGAATCTGATCGTGAGTAAGGTATCATGATACGTATCGGATCGTGAGTAACGTATCGTGATACGTATCGGATCGAGATTAAGGTATCGTGATACGTATCGGATCGTACAGTTTGTGTATCGTCCCAGCCCCAGAGGGAAATGAGCGAAGAGCCGTTAAAATAACCAACGTGTGTATGAAGTAGATACTCCCTGTAGTCGTCAGTTGGTACCTTGTCTAAACAACATACACTGGACACACTACATAGTAACAACACTATACATTTGATATTTTGATTCAGATTTTTTTTTATTCAAATAGTGCTACATGTATATATGTCTGTTTATAAGTCTCATATATTCTCTCACAAAAGTTGAGGTTGCCGTATGTCTATTCGAACTGTCATGTGGAATATTGTTGATGTAAACAATTGAACATGAGGATTGAGTATTTTATTTAGCTGCTGATTATATGTTTTCTGACATTGTGAAGCAAATATACTGAATTATTCACTCTGTATGTATGCCTTTAATTCGTTGAAGCATTGAAATAAATGTCTCTTCACATTCACATCGACTTACGAAAGTCGGAACTATCATCCATACAATCTGTTAAGAATCGTCATTTACAAAGACATCTCATTGGCTGTGAAATATATTTGCAATGGTTATACTTGTAATTGGTTATATAATGAAATATAATGCAAAGATATCATTTCAATTTTTCACACACTAAATTGTTGTTGTTTATTGCAGACCCGTGAAGATCCGAGCTAGAATAGGTCTTCAGCAACCCATTAATTTCATGCTTAAGGGGCACTTTGCATCATATGACGGATAATGAAATCGCAGATAAGGAATACAACCGCTCAAGGGTTTCGGGTACTCGCTTTTTAGTGTACATTTTATGAAGCGTAAATACATTTGCGAGAGGAAGTTTGCCTATAATCCCCATCATTGCTTTGTTTTCTGAGATAACAAACATCTGGACAGTGTCCTTTGGATTCAAGTGTTGCAAGAGTCCTTTCAACAGAGCCCATGCGATGAAGTCGCTATCAGCATATAAAGGTGCAATCTCATTGCTGTATTCTGTTACACCCAAACAGCCATATCCTACTACACGACCGGAATGTAAACGAGCAATAAGAATATGTTTTGCACGATTGATGATCCAGTTCTTGAAGAAGTAATCCCTCTCGCTCTCACATACATTCTCGTCGTACGCCTTCAACTCAGTAAACATGGAGCCTTCGAAGGGGACTATGCTGATTTCCGGACTCGCTTCTTCATCAGGAATTGCCCCCAGTATGACTTCCGCTGGCCCACGTTTTTGGTGTACGTCATAGTAGAAAGTGAAGCCATGGGTGTCGTAAATGTTAACGAAGGTAGCTGATATGACGATGTTGGCGTCACCGACTGCCTTGAGTGATTGAAGGTTCACATCACGTCCGATTCCTTTGCCTCTGAGGTCTTTCCTCACGAGATAAATGCCACCGGCTACTGTCTTCTCGATATAAAACGCCAAGACACGACAAGCTGTTAAAAAATAGATATACTTATAGCACAGATGTGAATAAACATAAGAATGATGATTATTGAAGGTCATAACTTTTAACATATATATAGATATTTCATGCTATATGAGGATTATTTGTCAGCCGCCTATGTTTGTAATATGGGTCAAGGAAATAGGCCAGCTTGGTGGCTTATGATCGATCACCATGCTCTGACTGCCTGGGAGGCTGATCTTCATATTAATCACTTGTTTGTCTGTTCCAGACTTGATTATTTACAGGCCGCTGGCATATACCTGAAATATTACTTGCTGAGGTGTTACACAATACATTGAAGTGTCTCTTTGTATCTAATGTGAATTGAGCTTGTTTTCACGTGTTTCTGAAACCTTCAGAGTCCTTAGCTGAAAAGATCCACAAGCAATGCCACATTCTACCATGGATTGGGAAAATACTCGATTTTGATTGGTCAATCAGAGACAATGAAAACAGCCCATCTGACGGCCGGATCACCACCGAAGCTAATAATTATAGAATAGTACCTCTTTTACAGTCATTGTATTTCAATAATGATATGTACAATTACAGGATACAGAAGTTGCTGTTACTACAATATTCAAAATAGTGTGTGGCAATATATTTCGTGCAAAAAATACGAAAGAAATCTACTAAGAGAATGTATTTTAAGTTTTGTGGACAACAGAGGGCTTGCTATTTGGCGCTTTTCTATGTGTGACTATGATGTCATAATGCATAACAATAGGCGATATGACGTCATAATAGTGACGCGAGGTTTAGAGATGAAGTGTTAGACATGCTTTCAGTGCCTGTCATACGTTCGTGTGAAGTAGTACGGTGCAAACAAACTGCATGACAATAAAGAGCGCCATATTTTGTTTTGTTTGTTGCTGGTGATTTCGTGAATTCTGATCGACAACCCACTCAAGACATTCAACCCATGCGCTTCAGGCACTAACGATTTTGCATTTTATTTAGTCATGGTTTTATGGAGATAAACATACTGTATTTTCAATGTAGAGCTAGGTTACTTGTAGATTTAACCAAATTTAAACTTGGAACTCAACACGGAGCTTGATGATATATTTTGATGTAACTTTGTTCGGAAAAAGAAATTGCTTGTTTGTAGGATTTCCTCACCATGCAGTATTTGGCCCCAGCAGGCCTTCAATGTACAATAGGCACTCGTGAAGAGCAACCTCCTCGTGGTGAGTGCTGGGTAGCGCTAATAGCTCTTCCCCCGTGTGGAACCGGGGTAGAATATTTCCACAGCACCCCATTGCTGGTCGTAAGAGGCGACCAAAGTGGGCAGCCCGTTTGCCGTGGGTTGCGTCCCTGTGTCGGCGGAGGACGGGAGTCTGGTAGTTGAGGGCACTGGTTCCTGGAACTGTGTTCCTTTGCCCAACACACTACTTCGACCCTTACTTCGCCTAGACGGGTGGTAAGATGGGCCCGGTCTTATCAATCGGCTGGTCATGCCAGGCCCTGTGCGTAATATTGTATATGCACACCTGTGTTGTATTTTACTGTATATTTTGGTCTTGGCCGTGCATAACTTGTGTGATTACTCAATTTTGGATGTAATAAATTGCCTAGAGTCTTACGCCAGAAGGCGGTGGCTCATGGGCCAATCTGGTGATGTTGACCTCTGTATTCTGTATGTCTCCAGTTTCTTGTCATGGACTGAACCTGCCTGGCACTACATCTGGTAGATAAATGTAGCTATTCAAGTCATGTTTGCTGGAGTATAACATCCCTGTATCCCTGGTGTTTGCATCCTGGATATCCGGTGCAATATAACACTGTCCTTGTTGACACTCGATGGCGGGTGGGGAACAGGGGTGCTGAATTATATTCTTTTCATCATGGCTCAACAACAATCTGGTTCTTCTCGAAATGAAAAAAAGAGACGTCTAGAGGAAATTGAATTTACAACTGGAAATGTTTCTCAAAATATTGATTCCTGGGCTCGATTCCTGGTAATTGAGGCTGCTGACAAACTACCCATCAAATTGAATCCTTTTGCCATATCTAAGGCTGTGTCTGGGATTTGCGGTGAGGTCAAGAACGTCACCCGTCTCCGTAGTGGTTCGCTTCTGGTGGAGTGTGCACGGAGACAGCAATCTCTCAATCTTTTATCTATCTCTACCTTTGCCAATATTGAGGTTGCTGTGTCTGTGCACAGAACATTAAATTCTTGTCGAGGCATTGTTCGTGACAGAGCTCGTTGTCTGTCCGACATGTCTGAAGAAGAAATCGTTTCAGAGTTGGGAGACCAAGCCGTTACTGAAGTTAAACGTTTCACAATGAAGAAAGACGGTGTCATCACAAACACTAATACTTATCTCATAACGTTTGCCCGTACATCCCTTCCACAGGCAATTAAAGCAGGTTATATGAACATCGGAGTGGATGTGTATGTCCCCAATCCGCTCCGATGCTACAAGTGCCAACATTTCGGTCACGGTTCCAAATCCTGTCGCAACTCTGTGGTATGTCATCGCTGTGGTGACAGCCATGAGAGCTCTGACTGCGATCATGATTTGAAGTGTGCAAACTGTTCTGGCCCACATGTTGCTTCGTCAAAATCTTGCCCTGTGTGGCAAATGGAATCTAAAATAATGAAACTCAAATGTGAAAGAAACATATCCTACCTGGATGCCAAAAAACTATTTAAAGATCAGACCACGACTCCATCTACCATTTCCTACTCTGCTGCAGTCTCTCGCTCTGTAGCAACATCCTCTATTTCGTGCCAGACTGACTTGACATGGGTCAAGTCAGAAAAACCTGTTGCTACTATTCAACTCACTGAACATATTACTGCCACTCACTCTAGTTCAGGATCTCAAACTGAGATTCAGCCTGAGAAACATTCTCAAACGTCTATGAAAGAACCTGTTAATCAGTCAAAAAAAGGGAAAAAGAAATTGCATAGAAAACAAGCACCGATCGTCCCTTCACCTTCAGACGTTCCTTTACAGAACTCATTTGGGCCTCTGGATATGGAGGTTACTCTGTCCTCACCGGACAGGCGGAGGAGTAGTTCCTCCTCACATTCACGCGAGCGATCTCCAATTGAGCCACCATGACTCAATTGTCCAACATAATACAGTGGAATTGCAGAGGACTTAGGCATAATTTTAATGAGATACACTTATTAATACAGGATTTTCAACCGTCAGCATTGTGTCTTCAGGAAACTTACCTGAAAACTACAGATCAGTTCACCTTACGACAGTACAATGACTATCATTCATTTTCTCCTCCAGGAGATAAAGCAACGGGAGGCTCTTCTATCTTGGTGCGACAGGGGATAATACATAGTCCTGTCCCCCTAAATACCAATCTTCAAACTGTTGCTGTTCGTCTGACTCTGCACATTGCTTTTACGCTGTGCTCTTTGTATATCCCTCCTTCTTCTGATCTTCGACAGTCTGATCTTCAAAATCTGTATGACCAGCTCCCAAAGCCCTGCATCATCATGGGTGATCTGAACGGACACAACCCGCTTTGGGGAAGTGCAAATACCAGTTCTAAAGGAAAAATCATTGAGGAATTTATTTCTGACAACAACCTGTGTATTTTTAATGATGATTCTGCAACATATTTACATCCAGCCACTGGAACTTATTCTGCCCTCGATCTGTCACTCACAGACTCAAACTTGTATAACGAATTTGCATGGTCAGTCCATGATGACCTGTGCGGGAGTGATCATTTTCCCACAGTACTTAAAACTGTTAATCCTACTGATGAGCCACCATCATGCAGATGGAACTTTACCAAGGCTGATTGGTCCTTATATGAGGTACTGTGTACTGACACAATAAAACATCACATTTTCAAGAATATTCCAGATCCGATACAGTTGTTTTCGGATTTACTGAATGACATTGCTGACCAAACCATTCCTAAGTCCTCTGCGAATTCCCATATTCGTAAACCATGGTTCACAAATGACTGCAAACAGGCCAGAAAGTGTAGGAAGAAAGCAGAAAAATATTTTCGCCGACATCCTACAGTCCATAATTTGAATAAGGTTAAAATTACAAATGCCAAAGCAAGACGTCCTTTTAAACAAAATAAGCGTATGTCTTGGAGGAACTATGTCTCCAAAATAAATTCCCGCACGCCCATATCCAAGGTGTGGAATATGGTGCAGAAAATAAAAGGCAAAGGTTCAAGATCGTCTGTTCACCATCTTAAGGAAGGTGACACGTTATTAACGGATAAAACAGATATTGCCAATAAACTTGGAGAAACGTTAGCGAAACATTCTTCAACTTCTAATTATGTCCCGGAGTTTCAAAAATTTAAGAAACAACAGGAGAAGATCAAAGTTAATTTCACTTCTGATAATGGTGAAGACTATAATGAAGTCTTCTCATTACATGAGCTACATACCGCCCTTGGGCAAGCTCATGACACAGCAACGGGAGCTGATAACATTCATTACCAGCTTTTAAAACATTTACCAGATTCTTGTCTGGAGACACTTTTAGACATATTTGATCAAATATGGACATCAGGGAATTTTCCTACTTCATGGCATAATGCCATTGTAGTCCCAATACCGAAGCCTGGCCGGGATCATACAGATCCCTCTAACTATCGACCTATATCCTTAACAAGCTGCGTATGTAAAACCATGGAACGAATGGTTAATAATAGATTAATTTGGTATCTGGAAACCAATAATCTAATTACAAATATCCAATGTGGTTTCCGAAAAAATAGAAGTACTATCGACCATTTAGTACGATTAGAATCCTTTGTGAAAAATGCTATTGTAAACAAACAACACGTAGTATCAATTTTCTTTGATCTTGAGAAAGCCTACGATACTACTTGGAAGCATGGCATTTTAAAGGATTTACATGATTTTGGTTTGAGAGGCCGTTTGCCTCATTTTATATCACAATTTTTAACAGACAGACAATTTCAAGTCCGAGTGGGTTCCACCCTGTCTGACCATTATAATCAGGATCAGGGTGTCCCACAAGGCAGTATATTGTCTGTCACCTTGTTTAGTATTAAAATTAATAGTCTGTCCAAGGTTTTAAGTAATTCAGTGGATGGGTCACTGTTCGTGGATGATTTTAATGCATCTTGTTGTGGTAAAAATATGCATACCATAGAGAGGCAGTTACAAATCTGTCTCAATAAAATTCATAAATGGTCTCTCGAAAACGGGTTCAAATTTTCTATGTCTAAAACTAACTGTATACACTTCTGCAGAAAATATAAGCCGCATAAAGACCCTGAATTATTTTTGAATGGCACCCCTATCAAAGTTGTTAAAGAGGCCAAATTCTTGGGACTCATCTTTGATAGCCATTTAACTTTCTTACCACACATTAAATCTCTTAAAGCTAAATGCCTGAAAGCACTCGATTTGTTGAAAGTTGTTTCTAATTCCAAGTGGGGAGGGGATCAGACTACCCTCCTACACTTATACAGGTCACTGATCCGTTCCAAACTTGATTATGGCTCCATCGTCTACGGTGGAGCCTGTAAAAGTAATTTAAAAAAACTTGATACTATCCATCACCAAGGACTGAGGCTTTGCCTTGGAGCCTTTCGCACTTCTCCTATTCCGAGTCTGTCTGTTGAGGCGAATGAGCCTTCTCTTAAACAACGCCGTCTGAAACTATCTTTACAATACATCACTAAATTATATTCCAATCAGTCAAATCCAGCCTTTAATTGCGTATTTAATCCTTTGTACGAAGATATTTACAATAAGAAAACATCTCTTGTTCCACCCCTAGGAATAAGAATTAAATCAGTCATTTCTGCTGCGAACATTAACTTTCAGGATATAGCTCCGACAAAACTTTTTTCATCGCCTCCTTGGCAGATGGTAAGACCAACTGTAGACCTCACATTAACAAAACTTAAGAAATCTGATACAAATCCACTTATTTATAAACAAGAATACAATCAATTACGAAACACTTATGACACATATAAATCTATATTTACAGATGGATCCAAGGATGGTGGCGCAGTTGCTAGTGCCACCGTCATTGGATCCAGAACAGTATCTTCACGTTTACCCGATAATAGTTCCATATTCACTGCAGAAGCGCACGCAATTTTAACAGCACTACAATATATCAAGAAGAAATCAAAATATAAAGACTTCATTATATTTTCAGATTCACTTTCGTGCCTTCAGGCTATTAAAAATATGTCATCTAAACATCCATTTTTAATTGAAATTCTTGAGTTATTTAATGATCTTGCGACTGGCCAATATGACATCGTTTTTTGTTGGTTACAAAGCCATGTTGGGATTGTTGGTAATACAATGGCTGATGCTGCCGCAAAAGCAGCACTCAACAAATCTGTGACACCACTTCTTTTACCATACAGTGATTATAAACCTGTCATTAGATCTTACATCAGAGATCTAATGCAGAAGAAGTGGGACACCCAAGTGGGTATAAATAAATTACATGCAATAAAAGCGAATATCGGTTATACCTACTTGGGTTGTCAGTCCAGATTTGAAGAGGTCATTTTAAGACGATGTCGTATTGGCCATTCACGTTATACTCATGAATATATTTTAAAAGGTGAAGATCCTCCATTCTGCGTCCCTTGTGATGAAAGAATCACGGTCAAGCATGTCCTGCTTGACTGCATTGATTTTTCCATCACAAGGGATAAATATTTCAAGGTATCAGGTATCAAGGATCTTTTTTATCAGGTAAGTAGTCATTTAATTATTGGTTTTTTAAAGGAAATCGAATTACTGCATAAATTTTGATTGTTATAGTTTGTAATTAAATAAATAACTTTTATAATTGGTAGAATTATTCAGTAACTGGGATTGTTAGTGGCTATATCCTCGATGGGGGTTAAAGTAGTGTAAAATTATTGTCCCCCTGAGAGGGTATGTAAGACCACGTCTTTCAAAGTATGTTTATTTCTGCTCGTTTTTAGACGTAGTCTATATGTTCATTTATTCTGGCTAGATTTGTCATTAATCGCCAACAGCGGAAGGGATGATGTAAATCCGGCTGGGGTCCATGCAGGTAGCAAAAGTACTGTAAGTCCCCATGGACCCTAGCATGGTGATCTACCTTCAGCTGCTGGCGATCTATAGCCCTTTTTTATATTGTACCGTTATATATAGTGATATCTTTTATAGTTGTATGCTAGTTTTAAATATTAATCTGTGATATTCTAGTAATTTTACTGTCCGTCGTTGACAGCTTTTTATGTTGTATACATTTATGTATTATTAATGTACTTCTCGTCACGATATGGCTGAAATACTGCCGATGTGACGTTAAATCATAACTCACTCACTCACTCACTCAATGTACAATAGAGCGTACGAGACGGAGCGTGTTCAAACAACATATCCAGGTAAACGACAGTCGTGATATAAATAACACTGCTATTCGCTAATCAAGCCAGGATCACCTTGACCTCCTTTCTACGTACACCTCCTTGAGCCTGTCACCCCATATCATGAACACGCAACTAAATCTGTATGTTGTTACACACTTTGTTTGTCAAGCTTAAACACCGGGCAAATTTCAGTACGTCGCTGACATTTTAGCGTTGTGCCCAAAATAACTGAATAGCATGTCAGTTCATATGAAATATTCGAAGCTATGGCAGGGAATGGCACCAGGTTTTAATCATCTTAAACTGGACGTTTTATGTAATGGTTAATCGAGTCAAGAAGAAATGCAGTCGTTTTCTCTATTAGTATTTACAGTGAAAGGACACGCGTACTTTACGCTCACCTACCCACTCACCCAAAAAGGATCCCAGACACTTGTCGAACCTCCACCTGATACACCCCTGTACGCACTTCCCACCCCAACAAGAACCATCCACCCACCCAGACATCCATGCTGATTTGTGAATATAGGTAGACCAGTAATGTCATTCGTTGTCTTATAGTGGAGTAAATGCAATCTTACCTAGTATTTCGCCCGCGTCGGATGCAGCTACAAACCAGGCCCTTGAATCCATATCAAACGTGCAGTATATCAGGTCAAGTGGAATTTCCCACTCATCTATGTCCGTCAAGTTTTTTATGGCGACTACATCAGCTCGAGATGCTTTCCTCACAGAGTACTTCGGAACAACGGTAGCCATGTCAGAGTAGAAAGGAGGCCGAGATTACTGTGACAGTTGAACACCAAAGTCGATGCAGAAGCTCCGGGGTCTGTAAAGTGTTTGTGTGTAACGGTTACGTCACGATATAATGCCCTATCAACATGCAGCCACGTGATTTTGATATAAAAAAACATCACCTACTACATATCAGTAACCGGGAGTGAGTCAGTGTGTTTCGATTCAATCACATGGCTATGGAATACTGAAAGGGACATTCTCGCGATCTCGCACTCTCGTGTTTTTGGAACAACGCGCATTTTGTCAAAAGTCGTCAACGTGATAATGCGACATTTGGATATGATACAAAGTCTCGCAATCTCGCAATCTCGACTTCTCGCGTTCTCGCGTTTTAGACGCTGTCCGTGCGCATGCGTAATATTATAGGTCAAGGTGCATGCGTACGTTAGTCATCCTGTGGTCATGCTTCTTTCATGCTTTTCATTATCTAAGAAGCATTGAGCAAACTCATGACTTGAGCTTGAAAATGCTATGTAATTTACATACACAAAGTCCTATGTCGAATAGAGTCCTCTCCCGTTGTTACAGTTTTCTATGTACTAATTTGATAAGTTGCATCATGTCCACATTCTCGTGTTGTGACTTTTGACAAAAAGTGTCTGGTACCAAAAACACGA